CACAAGAACCATCTGATGATGGGTAAAACTAAAGAGCTCTCTCAAGACCTTCACAAACTTATTGTTGCACTTGGGTTGTTACCGACATCTGGTGAAAATTTCATGTCATTAGCACCTCTAGTAATATATTTACTGAGAAAAATGGTGACGTGTTCAATACTTATTTTGCCCACTGTATCTACAACATGGAAGATTTCATAACCTTTGCATAAAACCCCAGTAAAATGTTAAGTTTTTCTCTGATCAGATGAAGTTTTACATCAGGAGTTTCTATCTGTGGGCTGTGATGTGTGAGGCGGAGCTGACGAAGGCATGAAAATCCATGTCTCAAAACCTTTAAGTTTTTTTTTACATAATGTAATAATCACCTAAAACTATTTTACAAGATTATACCATATTTCACTTTGAATACAATAAAATAAAGACAGCACACACGTCGTAGTATTAAACCTTTGTATTATTTAAATTCACATCTCCAGTCATATTTAAACACAAATCTATTTTATACATTTCTGTTAACAGCTAAAAAAATTCATGTCAAACATGGTGAAGTGGAAGTTAGAATCTCCACAGACACTGGAACAGTCCTCAATCTCTGAATCCAACAGAGACTGGTTGGTGGACTATAGAAACTGGTGGACTACTGAAACAAAAACTGGTGGACTATAGAAACTGGTGGACAATCAAAACTGGTGGACTATAGAACCTGGTGGACAATAGAAACTGGTGGACTATCGAAACAAAACTGGTGGACTATAGAAACTGGTGGACTATAGAACCAAAAACTGGTTGACTATGGAAACTGGTGGACTATAGAAACTGGTGGACTATCGCAACAAAAACTGGACTATAGAAACTGGTGGATAATCAAAACTGGTGGACTATAGAACCTGGTAGACAATAGAAACTGGTGGACTATCGAAACAAAAACTGGTGGACTATAGAAACTAGTGGACTATCGAAACAAAAACTGGTGGACTATAGAAACTGGTGGATAATCAAAACTGGTGGACTATAGAACCTGGTGGACAATAGAAACTGGTGGACTATCGAAACAAAAACTGGTGGACTATAGAAACTGGTGGACTATCGAAACAAAAACTGGTGGACTATAGAAACTGGTGGACTATCGAAACAAAAACTGGTGGACTATAGAAACTGGTGGACCATAGAACCAAAAACTGGTTGACTATAGAAACTGGTGGACTATAGAAACTGATGGACTATCGCAACAAAAACTGGTGGACTATAGAAACTGGTGGACTAGAAGCAAAAACAGGACTTCAGAAAGCTGGACTATAGAAACAAACAGGTGGACTACAAAAACAAAACAAAAAAATTAGGTAGACTACAGACACAGGACTTCAGATATAAACACAGGTGGACTATAAAAACAAAAACAGGAGGACTTCAGATATAAACACAGGTGGTCTACAGAAACAGGTGGACTATAGAAACAAACACATGGACTACAGAAACAGGTGAAAGAGCTGATGTGTTAAAAGTTTTACACAAAGATCACATCTGACTCTAAAGCAAAGGGAGCAAATCTCTTCTAAAATAGAATGTTTGCTGGTGAAAGTCCCACATCCTAATTTTTATACAAGAGATATAAACTGTCACGTGAAGCTATGATCCAGTTCATCTCTGTCTTCTGTGGTGAACTGGACTAGGCTGTCATGTCATCAGAAAGTAAGAAACATTGTTCTGGAAAAGCCCACTGTAGAGAACGCTTTCTTTAGATCAACAGTCCCTCATCTTCCAAGTCCACAGGAGTCTTTATGCTGCAAGTTTCACTTGAGTGTGGGGAAATCTGGCTCGTTCTTGGGATCTGGATCATTGTTTGTGAGCTGAACACTGAACCAAATGATCCAGATCCCAGGAAAGAGAATTCCCATAAGTATTTTCAAAGTTTCCTGCTTCAACACACCACATTTAATGAACCAATCTTTGTTGGGTTTCTACAGAAATCAATGACATGTTGAGGCGGTGATCCGAACATTTGAATCAAGTCAGAGAATTATTTAAAACTTACAGGAAAGCTGATCCTGAGGATCAGGACTAGGGACCACTGCTCTAAAGGACTACAGATAATTTAGCAGTTCTGGTCCTCACATATGATAACGTTTCTCTACATGAATCTTTCTTACAGTCCAACATTGTTCTTATTTCACAAACAGAATGGATGGAGGAGTATCATTTGTTATAAACCAAAATGAGTCCACATTTCAACAAAATGTCTTTCAAACTGAAATTTTGTTAAAATAGTAATTTCTTCATATGTCAGCAGTGGTACCATAATCTTTGAACTAAGACAGAGTTGTGACAATAAAGAACAAAAGATTTAGTTTTATGCTATTGTTTGTATAAAGAGTTACTGGACAACTGTTTTACAAACATTTAGCTTGATGTGTTCTGTACAGTCTATGTGGTAGGATAGCATTTTTTATCTTTATGGTGAAGCGTTTATATCTGGAATGACTTCCCTGACGTTCTCTTCCTGAGTTAATGCAAACTTGGACAAAATTCAACCAGAAAACAGATTAAAAACGAATGATTTTACGTCAGCATTTTTCTCATCTTGGTGGTCGTGGAGTTACAGAGGAAGATAAACCTGAAATGGGGGTAGTTGTCCTTCTCGTCCGTCTTGTCCCGAAGTTTAGAAGAAGTTCTCCAAATCAACAGAAAACAGGAGAATGACAGAGCTCGCTTCGCTGAAGGTTGCACCAGTCTGACCCACAAGTGTTGATCCCAGAACAGTTAAGAACTGTGAACTGCTGCCGACTGGAGCTAACCTCCAGGGTTTTATTTATACAACTGAGCAGGATGCCAGCAGTTTGGAGGGGTGAGTCAGATGTCAGGGGTCAGGGGTCAGACATAGAAGAGCCGTACCTTGGACGTACTTACATGGAGGTCATTATCGTAGAACTTTGTCTCTATGATCACGTTACCACTGCAACACAAGAACAGAGAGAAACACTATTCCTATAAGTACACAATATGACTTTACATGACTCAGTTATTTAGCACAGTTCTGATTTCAGGAACTACTGTGGTATTTGCGAAAACACGTTGGACATTACTGACGTAAATTACAACTGTCCGGCGCAAAACTTAAAATCGTCGGACATGTTGACCTATATGCTTCTCAAACAAGCAAATATATTATTACATTGAAAATCCCTGCGGATTATCTGTGTCCCATTGTCTGGGCAGACGTCTCAGCCAGACATTTTTTCAATGGGACAACAGAGATCGTCAGTGATTGGTTGGCTGCCGCAATGTGTTCTATCCAGGATTTTGATTGGTTTAGGCACCGGAAGCCCTAAGGATGTTATCTGGCTACGGCAAGGTAAGCCAGTTTCTTCATAACTTTATAAATTTGCGGATGTTTTCTTGTGTTTCTGGTGTTTTCTGTTGTTTCAACATAATTTCTTAAACGTATGTGATAACTTCTAATACTTTTCTGATTATTTCTGATCACTTCTGTCAGTTTATTAAAATTTCTTTGAGCAGCATGAGTAAAACCTATGGTAGAAAATTAAAAAACTTTTTTTTAGTACTACAGTCGATCACAGCAATACTGTTTTCTCTCTTTTTTTCCCCAAACATGCTTAAGTGGCCACAAAATGGGACCTCAAAGGCCACCAAGCCTGGGCCCAAGCCAAACTACAAAATAAAGAGAAGTATTAGGAATGAGGAAATCAGCACAGGAGAAGATGAGGAAGATTTGCAGCCTGGAGCAGTTGCAACTACAGCTACTACTGCAGTGACTGAAGAGGACAGGGATGTGCCAGACTGTAGTGATTCAGATGATGATGCAGATCATGAGAGTTTTGATGAACATGACTTGAAGACCAACTGTAGGAAATTAGAGGACTACTGCTGCTGCACTTTTGATTTCAGTGCCTCTTTAGGAAAAATCTACATTAATTTCAATCATTCTGAACTGTAATTTGATATTTATTTATTGCCAATGAGTGTTTTGAGTTCACATTTGAATCTTTATATCGATAAAACTCCTATATGTTGAAAGTACAGTGAAAATAATGCAAATATCACTAAAACATCTGTAGATTTGGAGCATGGAGTACATTGTCCTATGTGCTTCAAAAACGTCCTGCATGAGACGCGGTCACGTCTGCCAAACTGGCAAACACTGCTACTGTACAACAATCAGGGTTAGGAACTCAGATCTCAGACTGAAGAAGTCTCTTGGAGGAGAGAAGAAACATTTCATTAAAGAAGAACCTGTCCAGAGGACCTACTTAACTTGGTTCTCAAACTGGGGTCCACGAGAGGTATCTTGGGTGTCCTCAAAATTTTTTACTAAAATGTTAATTTGGTTTTTATTTTTAAAAATGCATGGAGAACCATGAACTAATAAAACAAACATAATAAACTTAATAAAAATATATATTCCCATGTCATTTAGGGGTTGAAATGACAATAAATTATCTTTTAAAACAGCATGGGGTTTATGAGGGGATCCCTGGAATTTTTTTCGCCCTTGTAAGGGGTCCCCAGACCCAAATGGCCTGAGAACTCGAACTATAAAGTACGTATTTCTTGTAAAACAGGATAAACCAACATGACGATCAGAGAGCTGTCTATGGGAGCAAAGCCAGCCATTTTGAAGAGGAGAACAGAAGGAAAATCAATCAGAGCCATTGAAAAACATTGGGCATAGCGAGCAAAACAATTTGGAATGTCCTGAATAAGAAAAAAACTACTGGTGTACTGAGCAACAGACACCCAACAGGTCAGCCAAGGAAAACAACAGTAGTTGATGAGAGATATTGTGTTGATAGATAATAGATGATAGTTGATGGATGATATTGTGAGACAGGGTTCATGCAGGTTTCAGTAAGTTAAATTTAAGACCTTTTAAAGACCTTTTAAGACCATTAGTAATGACATTTAAGACCAAATCGATGCATTAACAGAAATATTCAAATGGTCCCAGAAATTTTATAATAGAAACCTTTTATTGCTATCAAATAGTGATGTACCAAATGATTATTTTCTAATCGATTAATCTAACGATTATTTTTTCGATTAATCTATTATTCTAACAACAAATCTAAAAGTTATTCTGATGTGAGTGCACTGGATATTTAAAATGTTTCATCAAATTAACAAGAACAGTTCTTTAATATTGTAATATTTTCTGTAATAGTTTTTTCACGGACAAAAAATATGCACTCTAGAGTCAATTCTTTAACAAAAAAAAAGCTTAAAAGATTTAACATCAACATAAAATCTCAACCAAAGCATATAAA